CTACTGTGCTGAAGAGTACTCCCCCTTTGACGGAGACGCGTCAGGAACGTGTATTGTCTTGTCGATGGCGCTAGCCACGTCATCGGTGTCTTAGTGGTAGCCACCCTTCTCCTGTGGTGGTGGACTTTAGCAGTTCAGAACTTGAGGGCTCTACTGGGAGTGCCGATGGATTCCGTAATACGGAAATTAAGCGTACTGCCGCAGTCACTGAACAGCCAGTCCGCTAGAGGTCTGCTGGAGCGCTTGTTTGCCACAGGAGTTAGGTTTGTGCACAGTCTGTCAAACCATCCTCTGTAGCTACTACACCGCATTCCTTCTTCAACTGGGAACTGTCACATATCTCCTCCGCAACGGTTCCTTTCTATAGGAATACTTTTCAGAGTGAATCTGAACTAGGAAATTCAAATATGACCTTAAATACGTGACCTTTACACAAATCAGTGGTAAAAACCAGTCAGTGTACAAAAATGGACATATGATACCTATAAAATTATAAGAACACATCCTATGAGTTAATAGACTCGAAACTAAAAAGTGAACATTGACCAGAATAAGCTGATTTAAAGCAAATATTTAGACTCTTGAAGTGAGTGACACAACAAAAGCCAGAATTAAACTAGAGCATGTAAAAGGGTGAGGATATACGTTGTCACGTCTTAAATCTTCCGCGCTTAAGGGTTTTCTCGGCTTTGACTGGCTAGAACGGTGGCGGCCCGTTTGATATTTAATTTGTCCTAGGTAGGTGATATCGTGTGCAGGTTTGTGTGGTTGCTGCATGCGTTGTTTGCAAGCATGTTTGATGAATATTAATGTAAAAATTGAGTATTCTAACGTTTTCTTTTACTTATTTTGTGTATGTACAAAGCTTGGTTTATCATACACTCGGTTTGTTGGCCTATCGGTTGCTGGCGATGTCAAGGAACCCGTGAGTTCTTGGGCTTTTCTCGATTTTAGGTTATACGTGTAGCATTTTATTGATGGATATTGCTCAGTGATGTATTTCAATATTGCTTCTTCTACGGAATTATATTTAAACAGTTGTGACACAGATGGATACTAATTGACAAAGTCTTTTTAGTTTATTGCAGGTAGGCAATGCGAGTGAAAGCACTGCGGACGTCAGGGGAATTTTTGGTGAAGTTATGCTTGGAAGGCGTTTCTTTAGCTGGGAGGAATTTGAAAATTCATTAGAAGAATTCAAAAAGTGAGGAAGTCATTTAATGCTAACAATGTAGTTGTCCTGTACTCACTATGTGCATTTTCAAGGCAAAACAACAGGGGACGACAGATTTAAGTACGCTTACGTTGCTTTTAAATGCACTTTTGGCGTGAACCGTGGAAAAGCTAGCCTGAAATTACGGAACAAGTCGTAAGAGGAAGTGTATTATGATATTATTTATGTTTAAGGTCTAAATGCTGCAAGTGTCCACCTGCATTTCGCGTAATTTTGCATTGTAGTGAATACGTGATAACATCCCACAAAATGGTCCATAACCATCCATGCACCAGGGTGTATATGCAGCATGATTCATGGTGTAGACGACTAACTTGTATGTTTATTTACACGTAAGAATTACTATGTTGCCGCCTGAAGTATTCCCCATTTTATGTCTCCATTGGTAATGCATATTAATCTACTGTTAACTGACTGAAAATCATAGATACTAAAATCTATATATTTCATAAGCGTTTGTCTTAATTGAAAACAGGAGATAAGCACTGCCATTATTTATCCCGTAATATTGTATGCATAATTTTATTTCCATTTACTGTTCCACCTTTTGTAGTTAATCATGAGCTGCATACGTGTCAACGATGGACATGGTCTCGCGACTCTTGCGCATCTCGAAGCACGTCAGCAGTTGTGCCACGAAATCAATGTAAGTTATACGTAACCAATAGGAGGCTTATGAATGCGGGCCTGACGAGAATTTGTGACAAATTTGGAGGGTTGGTTGCCGCAGATTACGCGGGAGAAGTAATCGCACAAATGGACCATTTTCTTAATGTGTATCTACTTAACTACTTTCGTATTACAATAAAAATAAACTTTTCCTATTAACGTTGTTGTCTTTCTGTTCGTGTGTTCGCGTTAGGAGTACGGCATGCTAGATCGGTGCTCCATAGGATATGAATTCGTTACTATACGTAAGTGCAATTCTGTAGGAACACTTTCCATCGATATAAGTGGTGAATTATAAGTACTTCAGTCAAGTCTAAAAATCTGCCTAAAGTTACGCGATTACGTCTCCTAGTCATAGGTGAATCTGTAGGGACCAATGACAAAAATCCCTAACTTCAGTATTTGAAAAATAAGAATAGAACTTAGGCCCTGCAATTGATTTCGATTTCGTATGAGGTTAAGTGCAATCAAAAGTAGTGTATTACTATTATTTCACTTAAAGCGTGATGTCAATCCATATGACTACGGGTGTTAACATATAGTGTAAAATGAAGTCTACACGAGACGAATAATTTAATAGGTTGAGCTGTAGCAATATTAGTAAGATTTCCCTTACTTTGAATTATGCCTACAATTACTTTCTCAGGTCTCATTGATAGGTCAGGCCTCCATCTCGTCATAATGACAAATTTAGTTTCACTGAGATAGAATAAGAAAAATTTGGTAAGCAGGATGTTAAATATATTTAATGAAAAATAATAAGCGAATGTCTTTACACAATTGTTTTTCGTAATAACTTTGGGGATGCGTAATTGCTGTGACCAGGTTGACTGACTTTACCGAACATCTGCAAGTAAGTGAATAAAGTGTAATTTTTAAATCGTTGAAGTTAGAAATAAGTAGTGTAAAAGTTGAAAGCTTTATATTTGCCTACCTTTGCTGAAAAAGACTCATCCTCCTTTCTCATTCTTTGGTCATGACAGCATTCTTCTGTGGTTTTCACTGTCACACATATTGTTCCTCTTCTAAAGTATAGCACCAAGCAAATAATAATTTAATATGTCGTATAAACGGGTGTTTACAAGGAATGTATGACATCTCTAGAGGCACAATAAGTTATGTTATAAATTGGAATCTGAAGTATCGTAAATTAATACTTTTTCAAAAATTTAGATTGTTCAATTATTGTACAAGCAATTGCAACGGATTATCATAAAAGGTAAACTGTAAACCCTTCACAATGAACACTGCATATATATGGGTAGGTGCTATTTCCTCACATAATTAAAAAGTATTTCAGGAGGAGAACAGCATCCTGAAAAACAGCAGTAATATTTTCTAGCTGTTCGGAATTTTTTCCTTTGATGCAGTTTCTTATCAACAGTTTGCAGTAATCATAGTGACTTTAGAGGAAGCTTTATTCTATCTTCACTTTCACCAACTGTCCCTTCAAGTACAATCGCATACAGTAACTACATACATTCAAGCATTGTAATCTCAACATCACAAAATCCCTACAGATAACTTGTTTAATAAGAAATGCTTTACAAACATGAGCCATAAGTGCACCTTCCATATCATTCATAGTTACAAGTAATTCATTAAGGATCTCAGAATATCTTAATGATCTGAAAATGAAAAATTATTAAGACTGATATAACTTAAGTAACACGTTTAGTAGTTGTAGGACATAGCTGCTAGCTACTATTTTACAGAAAGCTGATTCTAATTTGAAGCAGTCTGACATTTTAGAAGGACCATCTATACTATTCTTTTCGCCCAATCGCACAATAGCATCAAGATAATCTAATGCAATGTAATGCACTCAGCAATTACGGTCTCCCGAAATTCTATGCAAAGATGTAAATTAAACTAGTATCACATCTTCGCCTGAGTAATTTTAACTAGGAACTTCATCGAAATGGATATAATCACCAGGAAATCCAGCAGCTTTTCTCGTTCATCGCATGATCTCTTTTATGTGTTATGGAATATTTCAATCATCACGGATGATAACAAAAGTGTTTAACATCCTCAAACCGTACATCTAACTTATGTCTGTGACTATTTCCCTTTGAAATGCCCGATTCTCATAGAATAACTGCTATGACAACAACCAATGTCTGTAGTCAATTTACAACCTTAAGATCTATAACAACTCGCAAATAACAAAGCTTTAAGGCTTTAAAATGCAAATAATAGTCTATTCATGCGAAATTTCTTATAAAGGATGATTTTTTAAGTAATACACTGTCTGGGATATCAAGACAACTTCACCCATTAATGCGAAAACAATACAAAAAATATTGCTTTTTTCGGCTATAGAAACCTAAAACGAGTCAAATATGATCTATTTTTGCAAAACTGAACGATTATAACGCCTCTATAAGCGTGAACGCGATAACCCATACTGTGCGCGATAATATATCACGATAACGTTTTTCCTCACCCCATGTAAAATACACTCGCTTTTCAAGCTTAACGCAGTGGATTATATGAAATTGCCTGAAATGAATAGGGTCATGCAGTGTTATCACTAATAGCGGGCTGACCATGTACTCTAACGGTCATCAGCGTTCTGCGACGGAAGAAAAAACTATATTGTTTTACCGCTACCTATATGCGTTAAATAGCGTATTCCTCCGAGTAAATAAGCATGCAACTGCATATTCTCCTCAGGCTTTGTTATGTGATGATGAACATTCCTTCGCCAGGCGTGATAGTAAACTTAATGCTGGGAATTTCATTGTAAGTGATGACGGTATGTCCACTGTCAATAATCAAAGTTCGGAAAGAATCGAAAAATTTTCAAATCCATATTCGGCTGCACATCGTCCATATTACTACTGAATGTAATTTGTCTATTTTCGGAAGAAATTTAGCCTGAATTAGTGAATTCATATTTTTCACATGGGGAGATTTGTATTCTGCGCTGTTTGCCCTTTGACTAATTTGAAGTCACAACATTAAAGTCGTTGACTAAGTTTGCTGATGTAGAAAAGAAACTGGATATCTGAAATTAGGGGAGAAATAAGTGTCACCTTCTTTTAACGCTTCCATTTTTCGTGCGCTAACTTAGGGGCAATAATGGTGTTTAGCTGAATGAAATTCAACCGCGGGATATAGAATGGCAGCGCCAAACAGTGAGGGGAAGATGGAGAAAGGTGTGCTGTTTTTTATTGGGATTTGGCTACAAGTTTAAACTTGCTGTATTGTGTCTCAGTTTTAGGCATAACTATTTGGCTACTTTTCCATTTTCTTTTAAAGATAAACTATCCTGAAGTGAGGAGTTTTCCGTCATATTTAAGTGATTTATTTCAGCTATTGGTTTAGTAGGGAATTTTATTTGATGGGTTTGAGGACTTCATCATAAACTGATATCATTTAGAGAACCAATGGAAAACCCGGGAGTGGTGGACAGCCGTTTCGTCTTAGTTCGGGACTCTTCACAGTACATACCCCCCACAATGGTTTGAACGCAGGACCTGGTTACAAGGCGAGCTCGTAGACCATTAAGCCACCGGGACAAAACAGCTGTCCAGTACTCCCAGATTTTCCAATTGTTCTCTAGCTGATGTCAACTCATGATTTATTTCAAGCATATAACTGCCCAATGAGCAGCACTGATTATTATTATTACTACTATTCGTATTTTTCAGATTTATTTTATACGCGTGCTCCTTTCATGTGTTGCTGGCAACAGTAAAAAATAGACACAAAGGCCAAATGACCTCGTATCTACCAATTATATTCTTTGAGGTGGAAAGCGGCATTTATTAAGAAAAATGTATGTTTATATGGCATAAATGTAGTAAAACTGAATTATACAGGATATATATCTCTAAGATGCTGTGAAAAGTGGTCTCAGTTTCTCTCAGGAGTATCTGTAGATATATAAAGCCAATGTGGGTACTAAAGATCTAAGTGACTGTATATTATCATATCGGGAATCATTTACTATTATAATACGTTTTTTAGAGGCGCCCGGAATCCTTCAATAGAATTTTATGATTTCCACTTATAGAATCTATTAATTCAGAAGTTTGATTGAATTTAGTCTAATGATGATAGTTGTGAGTGTATTAATGGTAGTGCCTAGGACTAGTCGTATAATTGGTGTTAAAACATCTAAGTGAAATTCGCCACGAAGATAATTAACACCATCCACGTGTAATACCTAACCGTCTTGTTGGTAGATTCAAGGTCATTTGGCTTTGGTGTCTATTCGTTACTGATACTTCACCATTTGGTCCTTTGCCCAATACAGTGTAATCACACCGGTACAAGTAGCTTTTTAATAAGGATGTTTGCTGTGTGCTCCACCATTGTTGCGTTAATTACTACTGAACTTGGTGCGTGGGACTAGGTTTATGGCATCGTAACCACTACTCTACCCTGCCTGTAAAAGTCACGTAAACCCACGTCATATGCTGCTGCTGCTGGATTCAACATAGAACTTGGCACCGAAGTGCAGCAGTTCGAGTTGCCACGTTCCAAATAGCACACAAAGGTAGACAGGAAAATGAGAGAAGAGAATCAATAGAATTTGGATAAGTATGAGAGTGAAACAGAATGAGTAATGGTAGAAAGGAATATGAAAGATTACAGAGACTGAATACATCTGCGCCACTGACAACGATTTTGAGCCATGTCACCTATTGTCTCCAGCCATTGATTCTTAGAGTCCCGAGGGCCCCAACCCGGAAGTCTGCATCTCCCTACCTGACTCAGTTTAACTGTCAGGGATTTCATGGATTGGTGCCATGTTTTTGTTTGGCCACCACTTACTCTTTTCCAACCTGCACCTATATCAGCTAGTAATGCCCGTCGGGGGAGGCGATGGCTAGGCATGCGCAGCACGTGACCTAACCATCTCAATCTATGTAACTTCATAGCCTCTTCGAGTGATTTTCCCTCTTTGCCCAACACTCTACGCCTAACGTCAACATTACTTACTTTATTATACCACCTAACGCGAGAAAGAGATCGTAAACATCTGTGGTCAAAAACAGACAATCTCTTCATGTCTTCCGCTCTCAATGGCCACGTCTCACCGCCATAGATTAGGACGGAGAGAACTGCTGAGCAGTATACACGTCCCTTGGTTGACAACCGGATGTCACGCCTACGCCAGAGACGGTGTAAGTTAGCGAAAGCAGCCCTAGCTTTCTGGATCCTTGCTGTGATTTCGTCACCAATCAATCCGTTAGACCCAGGAGATTTTTAAATTCCATTTGTACAGATGCAGAAAAACTGATGTGAATATTACACAGGAATGAGATAGTTAAATTTGCAGTTATTTGAACATCGGGAAAAGAATCCTTCTAGTATCGAAAGATGGATAGGCACACGTGTGATAAGAGTACTGGTGTCCCGAATCCCAAATAGGATGGGCCATATGAATCACTAGGAGTATCTTAGTGTTTCGTCGGAGTTTTCCGGTCACTGCTTGAAACACTAGTTAAGTTAGCTACATCTCCTTACGTAACCAAAACAAACTCGATAACAGCCTGAATTTCTTCGGAAGATATTGTGGATAGGCGTACGTAGCATACTAGTCCCGATTCTGGACGTGCTGCTACATTTTTGTAGCTCCTGATACTATTCATCACCGATTTTGATCCCCTTCACGTTTAGGAGTGACTCATGTTGTGACATCTAATTCCATTTAGTGTTACATATTGATTCATTGGATTCATGTTTAGAGAATTTTAAATTTCGAAAAGTTAAACTGTTGCACACTTTAGGGAGTGCATTAATGTCCTCCTCTGAATTAGCGTGATAGACTTGCTCGTATTTGAGCGAAGTAGCTTACTAGATACAGTATGCCCTCTTCAGACTATCAAACTGTGAGGTCTATATTGGTGACAGTTCCAAATTTATCCACTATATAGTTAGCTATTTCTTAACACTATAATAAAGGAGCAATCTTTCTCATTACGTCATCGCAAAGGTGAGGGTTGGATGTGTGGATAGCAACGCTATCCCTGTCTTTGGTAATAGGTGTCTGCGCTCTCCCGTGTGAAGTGGTATAATAAGGTGAGCAATATTGAGGTTAGGCATCGAGTGCTAGGTAAGGAGGGGAAATCAGTCGACGAAACGGCGAAATTACTTCGACTGAGATGGTTAGGACATGTGCTACGTATGCCTAGTCATCGCCTTCCTCGACGGGCAATGTTAGCTGATATAGGACCAGGCTGGAAAAGAGCTAGCGGCGGTCAAATGAAAACATGGCGTTGGTCAATGAAATCCACAACAGTTAGTCTAAGCCACGTAAGAGGGTGTAGACTTCCTGGTTGGGATCCTCGGGACGGTAAAAACCAATGGTTGGAAACAATTGGTGACATGGCTCAAAATCGTTCTCAATGGCACAGATGTATCCACTCCATATGATTTCCAATGAAACTGTTTTGTTCTTCGTTATTACTATTCCTTTGTCTCATACCTCTGTTTACTGTCTATATTATGCATTTCTCCTACTTTCTTCTCTTGCTTTGTGTGCTACATGGAGTGTGGCGACTTGAACTGCCGCACATATTTGCAAAGTTCTATGTCGAAAACAGACAGACAGAGAGAGAACCCCATCCCTTAAAATAAAGCCGCTGCAACTGAAACTTCATAGCTGTTGCTTGAAGTCGTATATTCCACTCTGTTAGGAAAGAAGTTTTCGTCATCCTATATTTCAATCGTTACCTTGAGAAAATGCATTCAATGAGTCGTTTATATTCCTAAAGACATCTGTATTTCTACTGTTAACTATTATATCTCTATGAGCACTGATAAGGATGAACGACGTATCTTGCATGTGAACTCCTATTGGTTATTTGACTTTTTTTCCTGGTAATGTATTGTACAGTGATTACAATAGATCTAGGTATATGTCGGACAGATTTGGTCAACGAGTGTGTCAAAGGATACTGGTTTTTGCCACTTCATTATCTGTAATAAGATTAGGTTTTGTGTCTGGGTTCTAATTGTTGGTTTTTAATGGGTTTTTATGCCAGTATCTTTCCCATGCAGTAAACTTTGTGGTAAAACATAAATTTTACTTCGTATTAAAACCATTGTTCCACCCTAATAAATAAAGAGTAACTATATGTAAGATGTAATTGAATTAATGGATCACCCGTTTTCTGAAACTTGTGATTGACGAAAACACTAAGTCTGCGCGGAAATTTCTCAACTGTCACGAACAAACATGGCTAATTATTGTGTCTTATCATAGTAACAATGAACACAAGAACGTCTAAATTTTACATCAATGAAAGCCATTCGGTCCAACAAATGTTTGATTGATGGCGAAGGGCATGTAGATAAGTTTCGTGCCTGAAGACCTCAGACAACCAAATATATTTTATGCAAAAGACATCCTCGACGTGAACAGTCAATTTCTCACCAATCAGCTATTAGCTGAATACTAATTTGGTATGGCAAGTGGTGTAAAGTCATTAGGTTATTTCACCTGTTAATAATTCATAGTAATCTGCATTGTAAGGCATTTTTTTGTCAAAAAAGTCAACACAATTTTCATCGAGGAATAATAGTGTTCAGTAACTGATGGAGTTCGATTAGTTGTTCTGTTCGTATGGGTTATAAAGAAACATGTAGCCGACACATTTGCGTATCCTGATTGGTTGAAAACCAGCCTGAAATCTGAGTATCTGGTGTTTTATTGGAACTATAAGTACAACTAGTATTTACGTGGATTGGATTACTCAAGAGAAAACTAAGATGCATACTCAATTATTTCTGACTAAGTTATTTCAGCAAAGTACTGATCGTAGTGCCTTGGAGTGATCATTGCTTTAGTTAATGTATTGAATTATTTGATAACCAAGGTAACCTTGGTTAGTGCTAGGGTAAAAACTGTTCCATTTGATGACTGCAACATTTACTGAATAAAGTATAGCGTAGAAAGATGTTAAAGTGAGCTAGTCCAAGTTGTCGTACATCTAGCACAGTTAGTGCGGTACTAGATGAGGTTGCTTCAGTAGCCAATTAGTTTATAAATGTGGCGATAAGGACAGACTTTACTTCCGTCTTGAAATCATAAGTGTGTGTCACAGGTCTTAGAGTGAAGTCTATATTTATTAGACTACGTCACACCGTTTCGATATTCAAGTTAGCATCTTCGAATTACCATGAAGCAGTATGTTGTATGTCTCGAAGCCAAGCAAAAAGCCGTGATTCTTCTCATTATTTCCCTTTCTTTAACTTAAATACCTTACTGCACTTCGTCGCCGTCTTTATTTTGAATATATATTCATGTATTTCCAACTATTGGTTTCTTCCAGCACACGCATAAAATGTGTGAACTTTGCATCATGCTCAGTATTGTTTTCAGTGTTTTAGGACTTAAGCGAATTCAATGGATATTTGGATACAGATATAGTATCCAAATTGAAGCTTGGAACAGGTTGATTTATTGATCTGTCGATCGCATTCAGTGTTAGAGCATTGAGTATTAACGAAGTCACTAGAACGTTTATTGATATTGTTTATGGGGTAATGGTGCTAACTATTTGTCAAGACTAAAATAGTTGGAGTGAATCTCGAACCTCAGACACACCGGCTAAAATTCAAGTGTAAAGGTCAACCAATTACGTCTTCACTGAAAACCAACTAGTTTATAGTTGTTTAGTGAGTTCTTTACTCTTTCCACCAAAGATATTTGTGTATCTAACGTTACTGTATTCTGAGATGAATGACAAAATCAGCGAGCTGCTCCTCTGCTTTATGAACCATATATTGTTATTTGTGATATATTGTCACTCGTTCTCTAAAGCATAGGTCACGCTACCACAGTAACATTTCAGACACAATTATATTTCAACAGATTCGTGATTTACCGTCATGATCTACCGGGGTTATTCAAGGTAAAAAAGCTCAAGCGGATTTACTTATGTATGCCTAGTGTTTATCTCAACTTACCGTCTTTTTTGCGTTAAAACATATGGTTTGTCAAATTTAGTCATAATATACTGCTACAGACTCATCTACAACCCCACGAGCTGTCTAAAGTATCACCGAGTACAGTGAACACTACCTTGGTTTTATTGTTAAGTGGTTTAAGATGTAGTATTCGGTAAGTTTTAAGAAAATCCATATCAATTCCTTGTTGACTTCACCTGTCTTTCTACTATTTCCTTAGTTAGGTTAGTTTTATGCAATCAGTCATTCTCCGTTTTGTTCATGGTTTATCTTTGTGGCAGTAGTATTTTGTCGCCATTTTACTCGTTATTTGAATTCATGTGTCTAATAGTATTTTGAATTTTTAGTTTGTGTCCCTAGGAATTTTTATCTTCTTGATGAACTAGAGCAAGGGCAAAAGGGACCTCAGGAAGGCAGTATTAGTTGGGGATTAGAAAATATGGGTGACGCCACGCTTACGAAGTGGAATGGAATGATACTTGGTCCAACACGCACTCCTTTTGAAAATCGAATTTACGATTTAAGGATCGAATGTGGACCCAAGTATCCAGATGTACCTCCTACCGTTAGGTAAGATGATTCTAATAAACTTTACTAGTCTTTTCTCCAGATTCTTAAATTATGTCACTATATTGATTGGAGGATTTCGTTATGAGCTGACATCAGTTGGAGAGCCATTGGAAGACCTGGGAGTGCTGGGCAGCTGTTTCGTCCCAGTTTGGGACTCTTCATCAGTACGCACCCACCGGGTTTTGAACCCAGGACTTTCTGGTTGAATAGTTAAAAAATCTGTCACTACATGCAACTTTTTTTTAAAAGTTGTATATTGACATAGGTATGATCTATTGCAACTTAGATACCATTCATAATACCGCTCACTTACCTGGCAAATATGTTTTTATGTTCTAGGATGATCTGTGGACATCTGTGTATGGTTACGTGTGAGCTTTTGACACTACGTAGCTGTCCAGGGGGAAGTAAGTGAAACAGAGCTTACAACCGAAACTCAGTGTGAAAGTTAAGTCCGCAAGCAATTGAATAACAACTACAGGTGCTGTTGATATGTACCACTTCATTTTTATCAGATTATTGCACAATAAAGTAGTTTAAAACACTAGATTTTCTAAGTCGATCTCACCTTGGATTTCCGTTAAATTTGATACCTGGTTGGCCTTTGTACAGTCGCTTATCATTTTTGTTTTGTTCAGGTTTGTAACGAAAATTCGCATGCATGGTGTAAATGAAAATACTGGTGAGGTAAGAAATTTTTATATATATATATATATATATATATATATATATATGCATGCATATATATACATATATATTGCTTCTTGTACACTACGATTGGACTACAGAAAACTGAGTGTTACGTCATTCAAGTTCGTTTACCGCTTCCAGTTTCCGTCTTGTTATATTATGTGAAATTTAGTTAATTTATAAAACTCAATTTTGTGTTTGAAGTCAGTAATGTAGATGTTATCAGCTTGAGCTAATTGTATTTGGTTCAAAATACTGATTAGGCCAGGCTTTAGTAGCAGTAATGCACGCTGCGTGATTTTAGTTAAGTGTGGAGAATCTCACGACCGCACTATTTAAAAGTGGAGAATGTCGAATGTGCAGATTAATTAAAATTCCGGATTTCCTCAGTATTATTTATTTATTTAACATACAAACTCGGTACATTCTAGGCACCAAAAGATACGACACACAAATTAATAAAACAATATATAAAGAAAGTAGGGGTAGTGTAAATGAGGGATGCCATCCAAGAAGCAATCAAGCATACTCATCAAGAACATTCAGCATTCATCACTTCATGTTACTTTCAGAAAAGGAAGGGAGAGGAAAATTGCAACAAGTTCATCATTGACTGTGATTCTTGACTACATCTCTTAACGTTTCCAGTCACCCATTTGAACCATCTCTCGGACTCATGATGTACCAGCTGATGGTAGCCTAACGCAAATATCCTATATCCTACTGCGCCACTTCATAGGCTTACCATTTTCCCCATACAATCCCATGGCTAGTGACCAGCGACTGGTTCAGGGATGACACTGGTATTAAATGTCGAAGCCACTGAAACCGGCGTTTCAAATTGACTATAATTCCATAACTGGTGGTTTTCACTGTGTCCAAACATATGATACCGGGACTGAGAATTACTTACACGGTGATGTCATCGAACGCAAGCAATTCTATGGAGGCAGATATGATTGGATAGTCAGGGTCGCCGTACATCGTCAACTCGGAAAGTCCAAGGTGTGCGCACTATACGATTAGAGATTTCGTCCGTCACACCTCCGCTAACACTCACATGGTTACTTAAGTCTGTCTGTCTAGGTTCAACATAGAACTTGGTATCGAAGTGCAGCAGTTCGAGTTGCCACGTTCCAAATAGCGAAGGTAGACAAGAAGATGAGTGAAGAGAACCAATAGAGTTTTGACAAGTATAAGAGTGAAACAGAATGAGTAATGGTAGAAAGGAATATGAAAGATTACAGAGACTGAATACATCTGCGCCACTGACAACGATTTTGAGCCATGTCACCTATTGTCTCCAGCCATTGATTCTTAGAGTCCCGAGGGCCCCAACCCGGAAGTCTGCATCTCCCTACCTGACTCAGTTTAACTGTCAGGGATTTCATGGATTGGTGCCATGTTTTTGTTTGGCCACCACTTACTCTTTTCCAACCTGCACCTATATCAGCTAGTAATGCCCGTCGGGGGAGGCGATGGCTAGGCATGCGCAGCACGTGACCTAACCATCTCAATCTATGTAACTTCATAGCCTCTTCGAGTGATTTTCCCTCTTTGCCCAACACTCTACGCCTAACGTCAACATTACTTACTTTATTATACCACCTAACGTGAGAAAGAGATCGTAGATATCTATGATCAAAACCAGTCAACCTTTTCATGTCTTCAACTCGTATTGGCCATGTTTCAGAGCCACAGAGAAGGACGGAGCGAACTGCTGAGCAGTACACATGTCACTTGGTTGATAGCCGAATGTCACGCCTACGCCAGAGATGGCATAAGTTAGCAAAAGCAGCTTGAGCTTTCTGGATCCGTACTGAGATTTCGTCACCAATCAATCCGTTGGTGCTGATACAACTTCCCAAATAGGTGAAGTAGTCAACATGTTCTATCACTTCACTCCCTATCACTAAGCTAGAAGTTGACGTAGTCCAGTCCTGTAGCAGCATCTTACATTTTACAGGGGCGAATCGCGTGCCAAACATACGAAGATTGCTGCTCAAGGTGTTCAGAAGACTCTGCATTTTGTCAGCATCCTCCCCTAACAGGACAATGTCATCTGCATATTCTAAGTCCATAAGACTATTCCCTGGTAATAATTCGATTCTTAAGTCGTTAAGTTCAGTTACGGATACTCCCATTAACATATCTATGATGAAATTAAACAGAAATGGGGAAAGTGGACATCCCTGACGGACACCACTGGTTATTAACAATTCAGATGACAATTCCCCATAAGCCCTTACACAGCTACGTGAGTGTGAGTAGAGTGCCTTGATTAGTGCAATGCACTTTCATGGCACTCCCTTCACAATCAAACATTGCCATAGTACCTTTCGATCCACGGAGTCGAAGGCTGCCTTCAAGTCAAGAAATATGGCAATTGTTGGACGCCTGAAAGTGTGTCTATGTTCTAGGATCTGTCGGAGAGTGAAGATATGATCTATGCACCCTCTACCTGGCTTAAAGCCTGCTTGATTTTCCCTCGTTTGTTCCTCCCGAGTTCTGCTTAGTCTGTGCATGATTACTGAGCCTAGGATTTTAGAAACTATGTTCGTTAGGCTGATCCCCCTATGATTATCACATGAGGACTTGTCTCCCTCCTTGAATTCCATTATGGGTAAATTTTGTTTTGATGAAGTCTCACAGTGTTATATCAAGGTGATATGATTATGAGCAATAAATTGTGCTCGAAACGTCATCAGTAAACATTACTGTATAACACTGTGAGACTTTATCAAAACAAAATTTACCCATAATGGAATTACACTCTACCACAGTGCACAAGTTTTATTCTTATATCCCTTCTTGAATATCGGTATAATAAGTGACTTACCCCAGTCTGATGGAACCGTCTCTGATTCCCAGACGTTAGCTAGTACCTTAGTTAATCTACATACTAGTATGTCACTCCCATATTTAAACACCTCCGGAATAATTCCGTCGGGTCCTGCCGCTTTGCCTGGTTTCAAATTACAGGCTACTTAAGTACACGAACTTGGCTACACTTCAGGCAGTTCACCTACAAGGGTGAGTGGAGGTATGCGCTCTTGCCAATCTTGCAACAGTACTTTGCACTTAGACGGAGCAAAGCATATACCATACTTACAGATTGATCTCGGACTGCTTAAGTGAGATTCGAGCAATCTGCATGATATCTCACAGTAAGACGGTACCATATACACACTCCTAGGAAGCAGATTTACACCATCACGTTACGTCCTTGAGAACTGACTTCAGATTGCCATCGATGGGAGAGTTAAGGAGAAATGAGGAGATTTGGTTACCCTGTCTAACCCAATTGTTGGTTCCGAACAGCAGTGATAGCTGGTTGTATGCCCGAACTCTACCCGAGGTGTTTCTGCATACGGCTTTCTGAATATTAACAAGCTTCTTAGGTAAATCTCTCTCTAATAAATAATTCCAGAGAGCAGTTCTATTCAACGAATCGAAGATGGTCCTAATATCAAGGTGCACAATGACTGTTGGTCTGTAATACGTGCGATGGTGTCCTAGCCAATGATGAAGGGCGGACATATGATCAGTGCATCCAAGGTCTGAACGAAATCCGGCCTGGTCTTCGCGAATCTGTTCCCTACGTGTTTTGCACGGCGTGTGAAGCAAGATAGCAAGCAATATTTTAAACGTGGCTGTTAGCAAACTAATATCTTTATGATTGTTACGCATATTACGTAGGCCTTTTGTGAAGATGGGCATCATTCCACTTTAATAGAACATTCTCGTTTTCCAGTACTTTCCTGAACAATCCAGTCAGTGCCTTAACAAGAATCTTGCTACTGTCCTTGCAAAGAGCTGAGGTTAGGTTGTCTGGCCTGGGTGCCTTTTAGAGTTTCAGTTTCCTTTCGGAGCTCCGCTTTGTTTTGTGAGTCGGTATTAACCGACTGTGGAGCACTGTTGTTGATGATGTCAGATGTTTACACTCTAGGTTAGCTAAAATACCTTTTGAAGGACTCTATACACTTTCACAGGCTGTTAATTGGCGGATCATCTGTCCTGTTTACTTCTTACTCTCGTATCACCTCCATTGTGCTTGGCATAATTGCATCAAGTCGATGAGTGACTTTGCAAGTTTTATTGCCAGTGCTGAATGCTAATTAATAACTTACTCAACATTCTGACTCATCACTTCCAATAATAATCATAGGAAACTCACAAATTTAAGTAGAACAACAACTGGGTAAGAAAAAGTAATCTTTAACTTAAATGTTACTGACACCAGTACTAGACTAACTGATGGTTAAGACTATTTACAAGACACACGATATGCATACATTATATGAATAAATGTGCATTACTAAATTTTTCCAACTTACTGTAACAACAGAAGGCAAGACACAAAAACCAAGGTGTATTTTCCATTCATCAAACCGCTGTTTATATAGATACAGTTCATATTTTTTTAACCAATCACTGAGCGTGCGATTTCGGTTTACATCAAACAACATAAAATAGAATGTATAAATATATATATGGTATTCTGTTGCTAATGCCGAATTTAACTGTGGGAATATATGAGAATAACATTCCGTTAGCACACAAAACTTTTATTCACCATCGTGAAGGAAAGAAAAGCTAACAAGTGTCAAAAAGGTTGAAAAATCTCACAGAATATCATTCATTCAAGTTCCAGATGACTTTATTTACTACATTCATAGCATTATATAAACGTTACGACCAACAAATAATACTTTGACCTATATTTTGCAAGGTATAATGATTGAAATCATTGTTTTCCACAGGTACTATCACACCACAAAAATCTATTGAATAGCAGTAACCTTATAGACATTTAGATTTATAGTGTAGAAACGTGAACTATTGCACTTTTGTGCAGAGTTTTATGTTGAAAATTAAGTCCAGATCATTGTTTTAGTGTAAATTTACTACACTATGAAAAGGTCGTAAGAAGAAAACGTACTGCTTTCAATGAGATATATGTCGGTATAAGGATGTTTCGCATGGCATTTAGCAAGTTAATTACGCTGTCCCCATATCGAAGGAGTTTTAAATGTATTCAGTACCAGGAAATGTACATCTCATCTAACGGCAGGTCATAAGCCAAGACAAAGCACTCCAGATTGACCAAGTCTAAAAATTCTACCATCTTAAACAAACTTCCTCAGGGTACTGCTGTTATGTAATTTTTTCACGGAACTCAACCCGACAGTTTGTGAAGCCAGGAATAACCAACTGATCACACTTTAATCAGAATACAACGTTCTTTGGTTCGTTACCTACACTTTATTATTTCCACACTTTCGAACTCTACTATCTATCGCCACCGTTAATAATATTCTCCGTAACAGGGAACGTGGCTCGTAAGCTTGAGCACCTAACGTTTAGCCATTGAGTCCATGGTTGGCATCCCGCCGTACCTAATTCTGCCTGGAAAATAAGTAGTATCATCATGCCCACACAACAAGTGTGCCTCGTAGCCTGGAAAATAGGATTTGTTCCAAGCAGCTGACTCCTATCTAACTTCATGGATGCCCAATATCATCATTTCTAAAGATTTTATAGATGTATCGATGGATATAAAGGGGAGTTTCTAGGACTTCTCCAATTAAAAATGAGGATATTGTGATATGACTTCAAAGGTGTTTAGGAACGTCGGTAGTAAATATATAACTAGCGTAACTACCTAGTACATAGGTTTCATTGCCTTGGTTGTTCAGTGGTAGAATGCTCGCCAACCATGCACCTGGTCAGGCGTACACCTTTACCTCCCTTAGCTGTTTGTAAGACTGACAAAAAGGGAAAGTTGTCCGTGAGACTAGCAACCCTCTCCTGTAAAAAAACCACTGCTACTGAAACTTCAAATCTCTTGCTTGAATCCCTATGTTCTACTGGGAACGCATATGAATCAAAAAGAATAATGTAGGCTTATGCGATACTCCTGTGCAAAGTTCTACGTTGAAACTGAGTAACTAAGTCAGCGTCCGTTGTCAGGAACTAAGTAATTATCCCAAAATATTTAGAAAATGGATGTAATGTCAATGTTATCTAAATTGATAACAGTACTCATGGCTGGTAATTTGTATTATTCAATAGCCTATCAAAGTTACTAAATCTGAATCAAATTAGTGGTAAATATGTGTTCTCTGTTGATGGGAGCTTAAATTCAATCAACTGCGTTTATTGTAAAGTTGTTTACTCTACGCAGTACAATTTTAACTAGTGACAATTTGGAAATACTTTAGTTATCTGACAAATAAATCTCTTCGTAAATATCATATTTCCCCTATTTTGAACCCTTTTAACGTAAGCAGTATTGATTATTGGCATTAAAAAGTAATATGTCACTCATTGTCGTGCAATGCCGTCGCTCACGTCTCGATAATACTGTGATCTCAAGTAAATAACTGCAATCTGACAAAAATTTAGCACCAATGATTTTGTCAGTGCAGCAAAAGTAGATATTCTTATTGCACGTCAACCCTTAATAGACGAGTACATTGAAGTGGTTCCTAGCGTCATATTGCATCAGTTCGAGTTGTTGTACGTTCGCTTACCACGTAGAGATTAGCTGAACAGAAGAAAGTACATATAAGAGCACCTAAACTACAGAGACTGTGTCATTATAGTAGTAGTCGATGTTGACATGCTTTATATCTACACACCAAGTGAAATTTCGCGTCGGTGATTCAGTGGTAGAACGCTTGCCAACTAAGCACGTGGTCCGATCCCTGGCTGACGCACTCCTACACCTCTCTAAGCTCGTAGTAAGGCCGGTAATGAGTGAAGGTTGGGCGTGAGGCTAACAACTTTACTCCGTTAAAAAAAACCATTGCTACCGAAACTTCAAAACTCTAGTTTGAAGCCGTATGTTCCAGTTGGGACGAGAAGAAATAAAATAAACGATAATGACAAATGAAATTTCATTAGAGGAATGTAGTTGACCATGACATGTTCTAAGACGAAGCAGGAAAAGATAAAGGAAACATAAAAATATAATATTACAGTTAAGATAAAATTAAGGTACATATGCAACACTTTTATCAATTATAAATTTTATCACCTAGATCCACTGAATGTGTATCCTTTCTGTCACCTGTACTCCAGATAACCTACACATCCCTTTTATTGTTCATGAACCGATGAATTGTGGATACTGTATTATTGTAACTCATCGTGACTTTCAGTAGTATGGCACGTTGATGTAATACAATGAGCACATATTTAAGATGTGAATCGGCGATGACCTTATGAAAGGTGTAACTTGTGTAATCTAATACCGCGTCTAACTTCTATATTGCTTGCTTAAAGGTTTTATGAACCATGGTCAGTAACTGGAATTTTTTCTAGACTCCAAATTTGACGGCCACGTTTCATAATCATACACTGCTGTTACAAGACCTTTTGTGTTGTACAGTTTGATGGAATAGATTACTGCATCCGTACAAATTTATGTAGGAAAGACAAAGAACAACAGAAGTAAACCACAGTTAACATTCATTCTACTCCACAAAATCGAAAATAGGTAAGTTGAAATATCGGTCATCCAAAGGAAATATTCTAGTTCCCTAATGTCTGTCCAGTCAGCGACATGGTGACTTGGCCTTAATTTCACCCTTAATATTTTGCTGAGTTGTACAGCTGTTCAGAAAAAGTTGTTGAAGACATTTTTAGAGGAATATAAAAGTCGTTTTAAATTAGTCCATCTGCAAAACCTTCGGCATATATGGATTCTTATCAAGCACCCAATGCGTAACACTATGTTATTTTTCATTGATTTGATGCATTGTGAGTAGAGTTCAATAAAGAGAATAGTAAGGTTCTTAAAAGTACAAAAACGTAACGACCGCAACTAAAGCTTCATGCTTACTGTCGAAACAGATAAAACGCTGATGTATGCCATTTCTATAAGGCCAGGTGGGATATCGATACAATTACACCTGTGCAAACCCATCATATTGTAGACTTTGGTTTAAGTTTATGAAGCAGATACTTGTTCTTCAGATTGTAAAATATAAGTATGCCTAACTGTGATCTGAACAAACTCCCCTTCGCAACTTTAAGTTGGCATTCGACCTTTCTTTCTAGGGGATGCTTATGAGACCCACCTCTTACATTCGAAAACCCTTGATTGTGTAGAGTCTAATGCGTTCCAACAAAGACAACATGCAAAAATCGTAGTATTTTGAGTGGTAGCAATAGTATACTTAGTATTCGTTCCACTTCTGCCGAATAATAATGGATAAGGATATCATAAAACGTGATAATTTAGTGATGATCATCACTAATTATTTGCTTCGATGACTTTTTCAATTTAAACTGCGCACTCGTTTACTTCGATTATTTTGCAATTTTCTCACTGAAACTGGTGAGATGAGGATCAGGTGGCCAGGAAGAACTAACAACAATGAACTCTGTCAACGAAACAACCGTGTTGCACAACAAATAAGTCGAAGGAAATAAGGACGTCTAAGGGACGTTACTCGCAAGACCCTCGAGTGCAACCTGAATGGAATACGATGACTTCAATGTTGAAAGGTAATACGGAGGAAAACTAGTGAGAAGGCGATGCAAAGTACGAGACAAAAGTTGAGCCGCCTAAAGAGGACTGCGGAAATCAAGATGAATTAGAGATGTGCTGCATAGGTCTAGTGTTTCAAGCGGAACCTGCGACAATAATAATTGCGCTCGGTTGTTTTATCGTTTTGTCAAGCGGAGCCTCCGTATCATGTGTGCAAGGTATGCAGGAGAATACGGAAGACTACGCATTACGCACAAAAATTGCTTTTGTCGGAATTTTGATTGAAAATGTGAACCATTTTCTTGATACTGCATGAAAAGTCGTCAGTTGATTTCCAGGTGTCTGTAAATAGTTTTCTACCACGCATATTGCTGGGCTCAGATATAAATATACTATTTGCATTCTGTTGCACTACCAGCAAAATACAAAAAATAATCATATTATTCAGATGAATCCGTCAATCGAGTGAGTATCTATAGGGTGCCATAAAACAGAATAAGTAACACAACGCTGTCTGAAGTGCCAATAATTTAACTGGAAAGTGCTTCCGAAAGGTTTCCTGTTTGTTTTCATACAAGAAGAGATTGACCATTACTTGATTGTCAGTTAGGTTTTCTGTTCCCACTCTGTTAAATTGGAGGTGGTCTATTATATTTTGTATTTTCGTAATGGAACTTTGCCACATGATCAAGACCACTTTGGTTAGTGGTGACAGGCATTGGGATCCACAATGAGCACTTCATCCTACATGGGGTTCGTCGATTGGATATACGTGCGTTCCCGTAAGTGGTAGCCTCCCCAACTAGACTCGGCCCATGCACCCATCGCTTCCAATATCAAGACGTCATACACTAGGCAATAAGGGTGACCTCCCAACTAACGAGTCCCAAATTGGCCAAAGTGTGTATCACGGGTTTCATTGCTGGTCACGACCAACCAAAATAATCGCATGTTAGTCCTCAGTCCGGCATAATCTACAGGAAATGTAAATTAACTTAGTAAAGGAATCTGAAACATATGTCATCTAAAAGTTTTATCTCTAAATACCTTCGTTTCCACTTCACGAATTTTCCAAGAAATAATCAGTATTTTATATATTGTCTTACAAGTTGTTTTATTTCATTTCTGTTTAGGTCGATCCTCGGATGTTCGCGACTCTTTCCAACTGGACTCGTGGAAATTGCATACGCCATGTCCTCTTGGATGTCCGTCGAAAAATGTCTGCTTCTGAAAATTCGAGACTTGCTCAACCTCCTGAAAATTCCACATTCTGAGCGATTCTCTTCTTGGTATGTTGCTCTCCAGATATAAGAATGATTAACCAGGAGTGAATGTTTTTTTCTAAATTCATAGCTTTTATCCTAGGTCTTCATTTCGTTTTATCAAACCACCTGCTAAATTTTATTTTAACATTATTTTACTGGTCTTTCTCCAAATGGTTTTCCCTTCTTATGTATGTATTCTTGTGTAACTTCTAAACACTCCAAATTTATTGTGGATTGAATATAGTTGGACGAGGAAGTTCGCAATATTTTTTATACCTTATAGACTCGTGGTTTTTACTTCCTTCCTGCCTTAACCATTGACTCAGTTAAGGCTGTTTGATAGCAATAATAACTATGCTGAATTGTACTCTCTGCTTATATAGTAGAAATTTTTATTTATGGTGGTCATTTGTTGCAACTATGCACCCACTGCTTCTTTGACATTGTTAATTACAAATTGTGAATTTTTCCGGTTATGTATCTCTTGGTTCACTGACAATTTTGCCTGAATTCGGCTTTTTGAATCAAATCCTCTTTGTTGTGTTTAAATTATTTTTAAATAATAAGCTTATTGCTTCATCTGCATGTCTTGTTAGTTGAATACTTATATCCGGGCAAACTGGTTACAGTTCTAATGCCATGAATATTCAGAGTTACTGCAACCAGTAATACGAAGAATATAAAACTAGAATATGTCACACTACAACGTAGTGCTCGCAACCGTATTTCGCGACAGTATGTAGGGATACAGGTGGCGAATACGCGAAACGCGGTCCAACATACCCGGTATAGGTAAGAAGACAATAAGACGTCAAGACTTCATAAATTCTTATTTGCTGAATCCACTTAAAAATCTAGGATAGTAAATTGCTATTATCGCATTGGGTTACAAGTGGGACGTATTCCCGCATCTATCTTTATCCTCCTCCTGAGCCGGAAATACATCCCTCAAAAATATACAAAACGGTCCAGAATACAGAGAACGGCAGTCCTCATGGATATGATAGCCACCCAATGGGAAAGATGAGTAGGACACAACAAATCGTCTCGATGGTGCTTATTCCCCAGAATACTAGAATTATTATTATAACTCCCTTTAGCTCCGAGTGGAAGATAGAGCTTCAACAGCACGTCTCTATTTTCTCCTGTTCTCTGCAGTCCTCTTCATCTGGCCGCATGTTCGCCCATAAGCTTTCATCTCCTCTTCACACGATTTCACCCTTGTATGCCCAACTCGTCGTTTCTTATTTCGGTTCCAATCGAGGGCCTGGCGCGCAATGTCAGCCGACGGTCTCCTCAGTGTGTCCACCCCACTTCCATTTTCTTCGGTATGTTGTTCGTGTATGGGCCCCTGGTTGGTTCGTTCCTAGAGTTCCTTGTTGCCAGTCCTGGTCTGATCTTCAGTATGGAGCGAAGGTATCTGTTGACAAAAGTCTGCAACAGGCTGTTGGGGACGCTCTTTGCGTCGCACCAAGCTTCTGATCCATATAGAAGAACTGACTTAGCATTGGTGTTGAAAATTCGAACCTTGTTATTTATGCTGAATGCAGAAGTGATTAAGGTTTGCCTCGCCTTTCTGATTTTGACATTCTCATCCGTGCCGCCTGTAGTTGAAATGATGTTACCTAGATAAGTGAAGGAAACAATCTCTTGCAAACTTATCTCATTGGTAGTGATCGGTGCTTGTTGTTGTTGGTTTATTGGTTACCTTCATCACCCTCGTCTTCTCCATGTTCACTTGAAGTCCTGTCTCTGCTGCTACTTCTGCCAACTTTTTAGTTTTCGCCTGTAAGTCTTCGGATTTATGTGACGTTAGACATAAATCATTCGCGAAGTCCATATCTTCTAGAGTCTTCTTATCTGTCTAACGTATTCCTGTCGACTCGCTCTCCACAGTCTGATGCATAATCCAATCCACCACAATCTGGAGTATCATCGGTGATAGTAGGCAATCTTGTCTTACTCTTGTCTTCACTTCAAAGGCTTTGCTGAGTTTTTCATTGTGGACCACTTGACATGTAGCATTTTCATATAGCTGTTGAGTGAGGTTGGCACAGACTTGGAGTGGTTTCTAAGTTAAATTCGCGATCAACGCCATCGTAGGCCTTTCAAAGTCGATGAAGTTGAGGTAGAGGTATGAACGCCATTCTATACTCCACTCGATGATGATTCGTAGAGTTGCAATTTGATCAGCACATGATTTGCTTTTCCTAAATCTAGCTTGATCCGGGCGAAGTGTTGTATTCGGTGCATCTTTTAGTCTCTCTACTATGACACGACTTAGTATTTTGATAGGATAAACTGAGAGAAAAATATTCAGTAACCTCGGGAATGTCACATGTGACTTGTGTATTTCACAGGTTTGAGTAATCACATTATTCGGAGAAATCTGTGTGGACCTTCAGCGTCTGTGAAAATTGTAGCAGTGGATTAGTCAAGAAAAGAAAAGCTTTAGCGACGAACAGTTAGAGAATTTCCATCTTCGCGAAACTTAGGACAAACAGCCCTTGGTTTATGCTGGACAGACGAACTAGCTTTTGTAGCCGGAAACTGCGGTGAATTTGACGTTGAGAGCGTTCAGCAAGATGGATTCCAGCCTGTAAATTGCTCTCCGAAATTCTAGTGTTTATGCAATAGCTAATAGTGCACGACTCCACATTTATTTAAAAATTAAAAGCAATTTATTAAGAGGAAATAGTCGACATTAGTCTTTTAACGTAAGAACTACCAGCAGATACAGAAGTATCAACCTCACGTACACAATAATGTAGTTGTGCGAGTGATGTTTTAACCTACTGCTGCATGACACACCTATTTTTTGTGCTAAGCGCTAGGTTTCCAAAGAAATAACTTTTATCTACGTTTCTTTTCAACTCTTTACCATAATACTTATGCAGTTCAAACGAAAAACTAGAAACGTAATATTTCTTGGAGATGTATGGACTAAGTTATTGTGCAACTCGAACTTGCGCAGAAATCTCCTACTAGTTGAAGTAAACTCACAGTTATTACGGACGACGTGTCGTGAGCACTGTCTCATAGTCAATGAATGTCTTGTGTAGGTAGAAAGAAACTAGTTTGTATTGAGGCAATGCTAGTGACACCTAAAAAATAGCACTACATGCTTAATTAATGCGGTATGTGCTGAGCCAGAGCAAAGATAACGCACAAACCTTGCAGGCTCTAAACTGCTGCTGGTAGTACCGAAAGGAAGCACAAAATGCTGAATTATTGGTAGTCATGTTCAAAAAACAGTACATAGTGCTTCTTTCGGTGGGAAAGCAAGCCACTTAGGAATTTGTGAGCTTTAGTTCAGCGCTGCTGTTAGCCTGGGGAGTAATATCCTGAGATGACAACAGTTTAACGCTTACATTAAAGCGTTACTAATAGAACTTACGCTCATCATAGTGTAACTTATTATAATAAAATCACAGTATTATTTCCTGATGATATGTCCAGCAAAACCTATTGAGTCGCCTTGGCATGAATGTGAGCAATAGACTGCTCGAGACGTCATCACATATTATTCTCTCAAATAAATTTACCTAATGATGGAATTATACTCCGACACGGTGCCCAAGCTCCCTCCGTCTATGAATACACTTGCTTTCTTAAATCGGAAACTATAGAATCTCTCGTTCAGGAACTACGCACGGACATAGATGGTACACTTATGATAAACAAGTCCTCGGGCGAAATCCTAATAGTGATAAATTTTACAGGTTTTCAATCTCGGATAAGCAGTTCAAGACAAGAGATAGGATGTATACTGTTCAATCCCAACATTTTGAATGAAGTCACAGGCATTAGCTTGGTCACGAGATGTGACAGGTATATACAGAAGCAGCGACTTCAACCAACAGCTCGAGACTCTTCGGGTAACTATATCTTCCGCCTCACTCACTTGGTTTTTAATGGAGTTTCAGACTAAGGTTCCTAAGTTACCGCAAGCGGATCGATATACTTAACCAAACAATGAAGCTTCTCCGTATCCACGAGCCCCAGAGAAAACAGACGTAAGTCTGACGCAGGGAGAGTGATAATTCAGTAAGACTAGTAAAAGCTATACACTTTCAGCATATCTGAACAGTCCGTCAACACATGACATGCAATCGAAATGATGGTTTACGAAGCAAACCTATCCACGTCTCGAAACTGAATTCAGCATTCCGCAGACTACACTGTTATAGTCATCATAAGGCGAATGAATCTAATTTAAAGATTTATTTAAGTAAACATTTAAGCTCTTTCTCCACGAATACGTCGAGCCAGCTGGATATCCTTTGGCATTATGGTGACACGTTTGGCATGGATCGCACACAAATTAGTATCTTCAAAAAGGCCAACAAGGTAAGCTTCGCTAGCTTCTTGGAGTGCGCCCACTGCAGCGCTCTGGAAGCGTAGATCAGTTTTGAAATCTTGGGCTATTTCACGGACCAATCTTTGGAAAGGCAACTTTCTGATCAGTAGTTCTGTAGATTTCTGATAGCGCCGGATCTCTCTCAGGGCAACAGTACCAGGTCGGTACCGATGAGGCTTCTTGACACCACCAGTAGATGGGGCAGACTTACGGGCAGCTTTAGTTGCAAGCTGTTTCCGTGGTGCTTTACCGCCTGTTGACTTCCTTGCAGTTTGCTTTGTCCTGGCCATCCTTCCGAAGTAAAATCCGAATCAAAATGGTGGGTGTTACTTAACCAGTAAAACAAGGAAGCATGTTCATTTCACCAATTCGAGACTCATTTCAAGCCCAATAACATAATATGAATTTATTCCTCCTCTAACCAATAGTTTACATATTACGCACTTTATACGTTTGAGAACGAGGGGAATTTCAGACAAATTTCTAGTATTCTAACGTCGCCTGGTTTACTGGTTCGGTGGTTTTCTATCCAGTCCTAAGCCTGGGAAAAGAGTAATGTTGGACTGGGGATTTTACACTGAAAGACCAATCCAATCACCACAAAAACCAATAACTAAAAGATAAAGGACAAACTTATTCTACAATCGAATCTGAGGGAGGGAATGAAGTAGGCTGGTGAAAGCCTTCGGGAAGTCAGTCAACCGATATGTCTTCTCTCGTTAAAGACAAGAATAAGGATTTGGAATATCCGCATAACTTACAAATCTGGGAAGGCTGTCCATGTCATCAAAGAAATCAGAAGATACGGCATAGAAGTGCTGGGAATCTACGATAGTAGATGGAGTATATGGGGACTCTCCAAAATGTTAACCAGAGAATTAGTAATCTACTCTGGTCATCCAGACGGCATCCACGAACACACTGTGGGGGTGTCTTCCGTGATGTTAACAACAGCATCGAAGGTCCTTATGCAGTAAAAATCATTCTCCTCCAGAATAATGACAGCAAGATTCGACTCAAAAGGTAGGGAAGCTACAATTACCCAATTCCATGCACCTACAAACAACTCAGAACAGCAAAAGAAGAAAGATCTCTATATAAAATCTGCAAAAAGTAGTGGTTAACGTCCCAATGGCGGTATCGCGATCTTAGTGGATGACATGTATGCCAAACTGGGAGCATACAATACAGGGTGTGAAATCATCATGAGTAGAGAGGCCGCGAGTGAAATGAATGAGAGTGGAGAACTCTTCGCAGACTTCTGTGCATTCAGTGATTTGGTGATTGGAAGCAGTGTTTACAAGCACAAGGGTATAAACAAGGATGCATGGGTCTCATTTGACAGGCACACCAAGCACAAGACCGACTACCCCTTAATCTCCGGAAGGTTAAGAAGGGGAGATAATGTGGGCTCGTTCCACTATCTTTTGCGAGGAGCCTTCATGTTCAAGCTGAAAGACTTCAAAGCAAATGAAGATAAACCTAAATCCAAGTTCAATACCCAGAAACTGATGGACGAAAGTGAATAGGATACCTCCAGTGCAGCCATCAGAGCACATTTCAAGACATTACATAGGATCACTGAAGAAACTAACGTAGATGAACGCTGGAACTCTCTGCAAGTAATGTTTAAAGGGAATATGTACATATTCTGGGAAGATAGAAGAGGTGAGACAAGCAATCGCTCTCTTTGGACACATGGAAGACAGTGTTGGAGAGGGAGAATGCATAAACAGAAGGTCGATCTGTGCAAAGATGGACAAAAGAGAGGGAAGCCGAAATTATTGTATATCGCATTGAATAAGGATGAGAAGGAGAATAAAATTTGAGAGAAGAGATGATTCTACAGAATACTGGCGACTATAGCAATATGACATAGTCCATACATCTCCAAGAAATATTACGTTTCTAGTTTTTCGTTTGAACTGCATAAGTATTATGGTAAAGAT